TATATAGTTATCCAGCTTTCTTTCACTCTCTCTTCTCTCGACTCTCTCTCTCTCTCTCTCTCTCTCTCTCTCTCTCTCTCTCTCTCTCTCTCTCTCTCACTCTGTCTCTCCCCTCTCCTTGCTATTAACACAGTGTGTCTGTATGTGTTGCAGGCTACGATCACGCGGTGTAGTCAACCTCTGTCTGGCTTCAGCGCGCGCTGCGTAGAGGATGAGCTGATGCTGCACTGCATCCTCAAGGCGAATCCAAGCTCGCGCTTCATGTACGTCGTCGACACCAGACCCAAGGTAAGCCGCCGCTGCCTTCATACGACGTGATCGGTCACACAGATAGCCCGAGTCAGCTGTTAGACTTATACGTGATATTTTTGTTTTTGGGCTACTCTGACGCGTGCTACACACGTGTGAAATCTCGTGAGGTGGTTAGAAATTCATGTCCCATCAGTGTCAGGTACTCATGTCTGGTCAGGAATTCATACCTGGTCAGGGATTCATTCATGCTTAATCAGGAATTCATACCTGGTCAGGGATTCATGCTTAATCAGGGATTCATGGCGGGTCAATGAATCATGGATCTTAAATATTACGAGGAATGTCAGGGGTATGTTGAGGAGAATTTAGATAAGGGGCTGCTACTGTAGCATGTGGGCGTGGATCGAAAATCAGAGCTAAACTTGGAAGTTTTATCGATCTTACGCGGGGAAAGAAAAAGCGTCTATATTCTAGCAGCTGATTATTCTCTTCGCGTAGTTTCACTCGACCATGAACGAGCGTCCATGGACCGGGCACAATAAATGTTGATTGTTGCGCTGTAGAGGTGGCGTCGACTTTGCTCCGTGTTGCATGCCGACCCGCGGTACTCTGATTTCCTGAGTTTCCGCATGCATGATGTCGATTCAACATGTGTGTGTGTGTGTGTGTGTGTGTGTGTGTGTGTGTGTGTGTGTGTGTGGGTGCGTGCGTGCGTGCGTGTGTGCGCGCATGTCGGTGTTTTTCCGCCAGCCGCAATGATGCAAATGAATCGCGTCGGATGGATCGGAGAGGATGCGAGAAAGAGTTGAGCGTGGCGGCTGCTGCATACCGCTATATACCGCTGATATTAGATCACTCGCGCTCTCTGACACTAGCGCACGAAGGGTCGTTGTCGTAACAGGGACTACAGATATGTACCCGAGGTAGTTTTAGGTTGTTTAGTATTATGTTTATATTTTTATATGAGGTATGTTTAGGGTTAGGGTTAGGGTTTGAGTTAGGGTTAGGGTAAGTGTTAGGGTTAGGGTACACTTCTGTAGTACAAGTCTGGTACACTTTGTGTATACATATATGTACCTCGGGTACATATCTGTAGTACCTGATACGACAACGACCCCTTGAGCGACACTAGCGCGAGGTCTTGGAAACACTCCATCTTACTGCAGCTGTGTTATTGTTATTGTTGGTTCGATGTTGCTGCATTGCCTGGTCGATATGTAAGCCGCGCAGTGCATACAACTAAAAATTGCGTGCCTCGCGAAAAGCGAAATTTCCATGTAAATTATCCGGCGTATATTGTAGACCAGTTTATTCGGTGAGCAAGCGGCGGTGACATCGCATGCTGCGTGGTATTTGAAGAGGAGCGGAGAGAAGGCGACAGGAGACGAGCGAAGAGGAGAAAAGATGATAGGAAATGAGGGGAAATGTGTGGAGCAGAGAGCAGAGGGGAGGAAAGAAAGCGGGAAGGACGGAGATGAGAAGGAAAGAGAAGAGAAGAGATGGGAGTAAAGGCGATTTACGCGATATTTGGCTTGGTACTCGAGAGAGGCGACGATACCACGTTATAATAGTGCTCTGATTCTCTCACGTATTCTAGTCTACTGTTTACGATGCAGAGATGCCAACCACTACGATTTATCCGTATTTTATACGAATTTCTATTCCTTTTGCACCACTACGACCAGTTTGTATCAAACTACGAATTTCACTGTGATCGAAAAATAATTTTTTGTCAATTATTGTCATTTTTTGTCAATTTATTGTCATTTTTGACACTCAGAATGCAGGAAATTGCATCTCAGAATCAAAAAATTTCTCGGGGGGCTTGCCGGACCCCCCTAGCAAACTCGGGTCACTATGTGACCCTCGAACTACTAATTTGATGGCCAGAAACTACAGATTGCTTCAAATATGTGTTGGCATCGATCTGACGATGTCACACAAGCAGTCGTGACGTTCCCAATCCACCTTGCTATAAATGTATCATTCCCTGAATAGTTGCAACGTATCATGACTAAATGACAAATGTCATAACAAGTTATCACCGTTCTTTCGTACGAACCCCATCGCCTGACAGCGAGAAACGCAAACACATAGTAACGACGTCACACGCGGGATTTTACCGGTTCGCAGAGAGAAGCAGGCGATCCCTACTGTTAAATCTGCGTTCCCCCGACGAAACGCTGTCATAAATGTTCGTGGACTCTCTACCCGTTCCTAATTGCCACATAAGAAATGTTCCAAAAAGTTAGCACAGACAACTTTTCTGAAGTGATGAATGTAGTTCGTAAAACGTAAGCAAACAGCCATGACCATTCGTTCAAAATTTATCTAAGCGTGCGCAGGCGGCCTAAGCTAGAATAGTATGTTTTACAACAACGGAATATCCCATTTCTTTCAAAAATACTCACGATAAACCAGCGTTGAGAAAATAATTGCTTCTTACTCAAACCTACTTTCGGTAAGAGATATTGGCAAAATTATTTGTGAGTGCGCGTGATGAATGGCGAACGTTCAATCCCGCGAGAGAGAGAGAGAGAGAAAAATCGAGGCAGAGAGAAAAATTGAGAGAGGGAGAGAGAGAGAGAGAGCAGGGGAGAGAGAAAGATTGAGAGAGAGCGAGTGGGGGAGAGAGAAAGATTGAGAGAGAGAGAGAGAGAGGAGAGAGAACGAGCCCACGAACTAGGAGATGTGGTGAAATCTTTGTGAGATGGCGTATACGTAGTCGATAGATGATGGCTGCGGAAAGCTGCAGCATGCATTTAGCAGATTATCGTCAAACATTTGTAATTTGTCATTTGTAATTTTGCACGCAGGTGAAAATAATTTCACCTGACGTCGCGTGCACATCGAGGACCATTAGTACTGCAGCCGTACCATGTGCGTAATTGTATATATATACAGCGCAACTTTTCGCTACGACTATTTATTTACGTTCGCACACGCAAAACTGATCATGAGGCATTGTATGTATGAATCGCTGCTTCTGCTGCTGCTGCAGCTGCTGCTGCTGCTGCAGCTGTAGCGATAATAGCGATTTGTACACACGCATAAAAGGGGGATGAAGTCTTTGAACTTGTTTACCGAACTGGCTTCTCTAAAGAAGAAGTGTTGTGCGGACTCTAGTCACTGCTGCGAACGCAATAATCGCGATCCTAACCTTAGTCTCTAACTCCAACCCGAACCCTACACTAAACCTTACCCTACCCTCTACTTACAGATACCGTATACGTAGTAGTTTGTGTATGCATGAGTGCGTAGTGTACGGGCGTTAGTATGTAATGTGCACGCGCGCGTGTGTGTGTGTGCGCGCGCGCGTGTGGTGTGTGTGTATGTGTGTGTGTGTGTGTGTGTGTGTGTGTGTGTGTGTGTGTGTGTGTGTGTGTGTGTGTGTGTGTGTGTGTGTGCGAGGGCGCGTGTGCATGCATGCGTCTGTGTGTTTTGCTAAGCCCTGTAGAACCTTTAAGAACAAAATCTCCAATCACCAAATCAAATCCATCATCACATCCTTGCTGTTTATAGGTGCCACGCGGGAGGACGGCTGTGTGTGTGTGTGTGTGTGTGTGTGTGTGTGTGTGTGTGTGTGTGTGCGCGTGCGTGTGTGTGTGTGTGTGCGTGTGCGAGGGCGCGTGTGCATGCATGCGTCTGTGTGCGTATGCGTGTGTGGCTGTGCGTGCGTGCGTGCGTGTGTGCGTGTCGAAATGTCGAATAAAGAAGCAATCATTGCTGCAAATAGAGTTGCTTTTTAAATTTCTGACCTGTGTGATTTCACTGTTTGAGACGTTGTCATCATGCGTTGCTTGATGCGTCGGCAGTGGCCGTGGCTTGTCCTAAATAACCGCTAATATAAATAATAAAATATAAATAACCGCTAAATAACCTCTAATACACCGCGTATTTGAGCCGCGCACGCAGTTCTCGTTCACTGCATGGGTTGCTTAGCAAACATATTTGCGGTGCAGCTATTATGCCTCACCGACATATAGTGTTGTCCATTGCAAAGCCGGTACCGTTGTGTCACACGTGTTTTGTGCTGATGTATCGCAGTTCATTCTATTTGCGTTAAATGTTTATTGTTGAACTCGCTCGGCATATTTTAATGGCATATGTCTGTTTCAGTGGTTATGTATATTGCTGCTATGACGCGTATCCCGATAGCGACATTAGCACACCGTAATCCTCGTTATCATTCGCAGCCCTACCAGCAGCAGTAGCATCATCATCATCATCATCATCATCATCATCATCATCATCATCATCATCATCATCATCATCATTATCATCATCATCATCATCATCATCATCATCATCATCATCATCATCATCATCGTCATCATCATCATTATCATCATCATCATCATCACCACCACCACCATCAGCAGCAGCAGCAGCAGTAGTAGTGGTAGCAGTAGCGGTAACGATAGCGGCAGCCGCAGCAGCAACAGCGGTAGCAGCAGCAACAGCAGTAGTAGCAGCAGCAGTAGTAGTTGCAGTAGTAGTAGCAGTAGTAGCAGCAGCAGCAGCAGCACGAGTATTATCGCGATTCTTGCGTATATCGTATATGGTACATCGGCAGCAGTACAGCCGTATTTCTTTCTCTGCAGATCAACGCGATGGCCAACAAGGCGACGGGGAAGGGCTACGAGAACGAGAGCTTCTACTCCGACATAAAGTTCATGTTCCTCGGCATCGAGAACATACACGTGATGCGCAACAGCCTACAGAAGCTTATAGACGGTAGTATATACACACATATATATTATATATATATATATATATCAAGAGTACCATAATAGAATATATATATATATATGTATTTATATATAAAGAATATAGTAGAATATATATATTTTTATTATAGACTCTTGTTATATATAGGTCTCGTAGACTATGTATATGCTGAGCAGCACAATTGCATTATATACGCAATATATACACCACCACTACCACTGCCACTACGGGTATATGGAAAAAACTCGATAATGCATTTTGTAAGTAGACGCATGATGCTGCCATTTGCATATATAGCCTCCCTAAAGTAATATTGCGCATTGACATAGAAATTGCATATTAAAAAATGGCAATATTCCATGGGGCTTGGTGGGTATTGCAATCCTACGAAAAGATTTTATGGTTAGCAATTGTGCGTGTCTTTTATATGCCAATTAATTATTTCTGAAGTTTTTCATTGCTCGTATATCTCTATTAGAAATTAATTTCAGAGCATTTTCAACGGTAACTCTCTAGATCTCTAGTGTAAAACGCGAACAAATGCCTAACTGCATATTATGTTGTAATGTACGTGTCTAACGAAAGGGAACAATCTTATGTGATTTCATCCCTTATTATTCGCCTAGTTTATTGCCGCTTTGGCGAATAGTTTCCTTTAATATGTTTACAAATTGGAATGCTAGAGATATTAACATGGACGTCTAGGGCCCACTGTTTTATACGGCGTTCGCAATCGCTTGCCGTATCGCCGCGCGCGATTTTCCGAAACATTTCTCCTGGACACCAAGTTATAATCGGCTGAAATATTTATCCTTAGTCCGATTTATTATTCCGTCGCTTCCGCGACGAATAATCGAAGGCGACATTTTCCCGCTATCGATTAGAATTTGCACTTGAAACGAGCGGCTGCATGAAACGCAAACGTCGTGTCACGCGGCGCATGCGTGCGTGCGTGCGTGGGTGGGTGCGTGCGTAGCTCCATAACTACGTGTCATGCCGGGTTTCGCCAGCTGCCTGCGTGCGCGTGTATGTGCGTGCGTGCGTGGTTGTGTGTGTGCGTGCTTGCTTACTTGCGGACGCGCGTGCTCACGTGTGTGCGTGCGCGTGTGTGGTTGTTGTGTCGTGCTGTTTGGTCAGTGAGAAAATTACCTAAATGGGAATTGCGTGAGCCGTCTCCCTAAAACGATCATCTCTTAAATAAATCGAGAAAATAATAAATATAGACAAATGTGGTGTTACTTGTCAGCATACATTATTACGGATTAGTTCAGCATAAAAATTATCATCACTTTATAGTTTCATTGACTATTACGGTTGGTGCTGTTATAGTCTAGAAATCAGTAAATGAACAGCAAACTTGCGGCTGCATTTTTGAGATTCGCGAAAATAAAATTTTTAAACACTCCCATCAATCAAGTGCACGTAGTTACGCGACGCAAATTGTAATGGACTGGTATCTATTTCACCATGTAGACAAATGTTACATAGTCTAGAGACAGGGTACCGGTCGATGACACCTCGCTAGAGCGGAAATCACGCACTAGTTTTGTTGATATATATGTAATCAAATCTCATTTGAAATGCAGATCGGCATGAGCATATGATCCGTTTATACTTTCACATACTCGCAGCACATGTAGAAATTAAACCGAGTGTCTGAGAGCACCTACATGCCGCATCTTGTCTATTTAATACGCTAATACTAATTAATCTATATACGTATGTATAACACGTAGTGTGCGCGCACGAACCGGGTGATATAACGTCTGCTGACCCATGTCCTGTCAGTTAGGGACAATGATGCGTAACAACAAAATTCCCTCCGTTCCCCGCGTGATAGTTTCGCAAGTTATTTCGCTTTATTTATTTTCGCTTATTTCGCGTCCACCGGGAGAAGGCAGGGGAGGGGGGTGGTGTTAAAACTACGTGCGAGTGATGTAAAACTCGCGACGCCGGCGCAGTTCTGCGAGGAGGTCGTTAAAAAGGCGTTTGTTGCGTTGTGTTACGGTTAATCGATGTGCAGCCGGAGATCAGGCAGCTCGGGGGATTGACCTTGTGCGCCATCGCTCTGGGGGCCCGTTGTCAGAAACAGTCACGATTGAAATTCATATAAGTCCTTAAAGCCCATGCGAATGCAACTAAGTGTATTTTGCAATAAAAATACATGTAAAATTTACGTCTTTAAATGTGATGACCTTGGCACGGCACTTGACCTTAAAATTTATGGAATTTTTGAGTATGATGTTATAAGCCAGCCATGACTGACTATTTTACGGGCCCCCGGTCGCGTAATTGCCCAATGTTGTGCTGTGTTTTGTTACCCACACGTAGTATCAAGAGTAGATAATAACATGTTATTATCTACTCTTGGTAGTATGTTGGTCTGTGAATGTGTGCGTGTGCGTGTGCGTGTGCGTGTGCGTGTGCGTGTGCGTGCGCGCGCGTGTGCGTGCGTGAGTGTGTTGTGTTCGCACGTGAGTGTACAATGTGTGCGCGCGAGCGTGTACAATGTGTGCGCGCGAACTTGTTGTGTGCGTTGGTCAGTGTGTAGTGTGCGTGCGTGAGTGTACAATGTGCCTACGTGAGGGTGCAGTGTTCTTGCATGCGTGCGTGTGTGAGTGTGCGTTCACGGATGTAATATGTCAGTGCATCGAAGTTATCTTCAATTCATTCATCAACATTACGTATCACTGGTGCAGCCGAACGCCTTCGACCAAAAAATCCTCTCATATCGATTCTCTGAAAACGATGATACTGCCTGCATTAACACTATCACTCGAATTTTACATTCCTGGAGCGCATCGCGGATAGATGCGGAGATTCCGCGCAGTGCCCGTGCGTGTCATGAAATTGAAGTGCCTATAGTACGCTCTTCCCTGCTCAGCAAAGTTGTCCCTATCGTGAAAGTTTACGCGTCATGCCGACCGAAAATCAATTAAGCGGAGAGTGTCGGAGCTAGCGAATCCGAATCAGATAACTCTTCCCGGTCGCCGTCACTCATTTCTCGTCGACAGAAAGGCATGATTTCCGATGAGAGCGACGTTACTGCATCTCGAATTTGCAATTTCGTCCAATAATTTGCAGCGTAACTGAATTGTAAACGATCCATTATTGCCCCGATGTCACGTGTGAGCTGCGTTGGTGTCGTTGTTGTTGTTGTTTACTTGCAGTTTGTATGCTGATTGTTGTTGTTTCTGTTGTTGTTTATTTGCAGAGAGCGAAGTGACTATTGTTACTTATCTACAGTGTGTTGACCAACCGTTGTTGTGTGTGAACCGATTGTTGTTGTTATTTAATTGCAGTGTGTTAATCGACCGGTGCTGTTATTTTATTGCAGTGCATATTTAATTGCAGTGTGTAAGCCGACCGGTGCTGTTATTTATTTACAGTGTGTGAGCCGACCGGTGTTGTTATTTTATCCCCCGCAAAGAAGTTGGTTTCATGTCTGTCCAGTCGCCGCCACTCGGTTCGCCGCACACACTTTCCCTTCCGCTCTATAACTCGACCCCCAATTGACCTAGCACTACCAAACTTGGTATACTGACACATCTTGGGGAGAAGGTGTGTCGCGTACCAAAACCACGTCATTGCGGCTTTTATTTGACCTTGACCTTGACCTTGATTATATTTCATTTCCGCTCTATAACTCGGCCCCTAATTGACCTAGTGCAAGCAAACTTTGTATACTTACAAATCTTGGGGAGAA